AATAAACTATACTGTAGCAGAAAGCAGTTTTATTTCTTCATCTGAAGCATGAAATTTGTAATGTATTTATTTAGCTTTAAGTCATATGAACATTGTTAGGTATTATTTTGGGGCCTAGATTTCTTAATACATGGTGTTTTTATTCACTTCCATTTTTGTAAAGCAGGTATGTTTTGTTTTTAGCAAAGCAGCCTTTAACTATACACATCTGCTTTTCTTTAAACTTGTGTGATTCACTTTTCTCCCATATCTAGTTGTATATGCCAGCCTTCTCTCATGAAAACAACTTATGAGAAGTGTTTTATTACCTAACTCTGCTATACCAAATGCCAATCCTTATTCTTGGTTATCTGTCTGTGAGGGTTGTAGATGTTAACAGGTCATCTTATTTGTTTATTAAAAAAAATTAATTTTCTGCATGTTCTGGAAGATTCTATCCAGTGGAAATCAATACAAGATACACTAAACAGGAGGCCCTGCTTCATGTGATATTGGAAGTTTTAGGACAATGGAATCCAGCTATTGCTTCTTAGTAACATAAAATAGGATTATTTGCCTTTGCTCTTTTGTTTTTTAAACTCTCCTTACCTTCCCCCCACTTTCTTCCTCACGAAAAGAATCTTACAGCTGCTTTCCAAGAGTTTAGAAAACAACCTCCCCCCTCCCCTTGGAGGGAATATGTCAGGTCTAGGGCTTGGCAGGGTGTTCAAACATTGACATAATTAGTTTAACACAGTTCACGTGTTAACTAGAAAACTAAGGAACATTTCTTACCAAGCCATGACAATGTACTACCTTAACTCAATAATAAAAATTGCCCTAGTGACAGTGTCTCTCTGCTGAATGGCTTTTCTTACACCATCTGGTTGTCATTGTAGTTTTTTGTTGTTGTTGCTTTCATTTGAAATATGCTGATGATCTTGTTTTTATTCCGTAGCATTGAACAGATGGGTTGATTATTCTTTTCAGATATTAATAAGGCAGCGGAAAGAAGAAATATGAATACGGCTCCATCAAGACCCAGCCCCACACGAAGGTAAAGTACCCTGAAGCCGTGAGTTACCTTGGGAGAGTTGGGCTCTGGGGAGTTAAGCCCAGCTTCGTACACCAAAAGTCTTTTCTTCCCCCCAACAAGTGAAACGCTCAAGCAAACAATAAGAACATGAACCTTGTGTGAAGGGCCTTGCTGCTTTTTTTAAACATACGTCAGGAGATACAGAGGAAGCTTTGTGTTTTCGGTGGCAAATCCAGCAAGTTCAGCTTGCAACATGAGTTGCAGGCAATTGGAAGAGGATAAACCTCTGTCTGTCCCCAGCTCACGTGTCAATGGGAGCCTCCAGAGCAGAAGGAGTGCCCCAGAGTCGTTGGTGTATGCCATGCTGCACTGCAGTGGGCAGCAGAGATTCGACTCTTCATTCCAAATGGCTGCCGGTCCAGATGTTAACCCAGGTTTACGGAAAGTGCTGCTTGAGAGATTGCTGCTGTGCCTGTGCTGCAGATCCCCGGTTTGCTCACATACTTGGGTTACCTGTTTGAGGGGAAATAAAAAGGGCAAAACACTCCACCTCTCGAAAGTCTCCCTTTTTCTTAGCTTTCACGGAAATCAAGGGTGTTTTCCCAATATATTCTTCCTTCCAATGTATACAAAAGAAATAATCCTGGTGTGTTCCCTCAAGATACACATTAAATTGGTCCCTTCTCTCAAAGAAGAGCTTTATTAGTGTTACCATTTACACCAAAAATAAGGATATTGTATTCAAATGTTCTAACCCCATAACAGCACACAAGTGGATGTAGTTTTGTGTAAAGGGCAGAGAGATATATATTTCATACAAATGATATATTTCATATCTAGTGTCTCTTCAAGGCCCAAGTGGATTAATGGATTTTGCCTTGCCTCTAAGTAAAAATGGATTTTTCCTTGCCTCTAAGCCAGTTTTCCCCAGAAGCATACCTAAATGACATACCACAGTGAACTGCATTTCCTACAGTGAACTGGACAGTACTGCATATAGTGAATCCTCGTCTGGCAGCTCCACTTGGGAACCCAATTAACTGAGCATTACGCATAACAGAGCTGTCCTGCTTTTGGACAAAAACACCTATATTTTGTTACCGACTTATAGGAAAGAATGGCCACTATATGTTTCATGTATGTGCTCCTACTTGGATGTGAAGCTGTAGCTACGGGAAATAGATTACGCATGTCCACTCTGCAGAGTTTAAGCAGACCCTAAGGGCAAGGTAATGCTGCTGATTTCATTCATTTGGATTCTTTGTCCAGTCTGCCTGTGCAGCGGAGTTGAATCCAATACCTAGCTACAGCTGTACCACAGCAGTCATGTGTGGATTCCCTGGCCATTGGTTGGTTTCACTGCAGAAGTGGGCGTGTAAATAGGTATTCTGTGTGTTCTCTCTAAGGAATGCCTGCAGCTTGCAGATAAATTCTCTGTTGATTGATTTGTGTATATGTGTGAGTATCCTGAAGAACATAAACAAATTCTGCAGAACTTCAGCAGTTCCGTATAATGTCTGCCTTCATTAGCCTTCATCTAACTGTGCCACAGATCTTGGGCAGTTGTATCAGTATTGCTCCTTATTGCCCTAGTACAGAATAGAATATAGGTGGATAAGAGCTGCACCTAACGATCAGAAATACAGGGTTCCCATTGGAAGCTTTAGTTGCCACGTGGATTGAAAGGGAGATATGGCGTGTATCCAGTTTCCAAAGAGTGCTAACGTGTGTTTCCTGGTGACTTACCAGGAGTGTGGAATTTGTAACTGTAAAAGACTCGGACCCCACTAGTAAAATCCTCCCCGTCTCTGTTGTCTCCATGATACATGGCGATCTTTGGTGATCTCTGGGTAATGTCTGTGTTTCCACGGGCAAAAAAATAAAAATAAGCCACATTGCAGAATAGAGAGTAGATCCTGTTTCTGTTATGGATTGAGAAGGGTATTTTATATCATCCTGTTAATGATACTTTACCAAATGTTTTTAACATTTCCGGCTGATTGTAGATATTCAACAAACATAGCAGTGTTGGAGAATGACCAATGTCGCTGGTTGGGAACCCAGTAATAGCCATTGCCAGAGCATTAAATTAAAAATATTAATTTCACCCCAATCTAGAAATAGTTTTATGCTTTTGTTTTCTTTTTTTAATAATAGTCCCCACACAAACAAACATACAGACAGCATTGGAAAGGGCCTTTTAAAATGAGCTTCTAGCCAGGTGTGGCTCACACCTGTGATCCCAACACTTTGGGAGGCTGAGGTGGGCAGATCACTTGAGCTCAGGAGTTCCAGACCAGCCTGGGCCAAATGGTGAAACCCCATCTCTACAAAAAATAGCCAGGTGTGGTGGCTCTTGCCTGTAGTCCCAGCACTGGGGAGGCTGAAGTGGGAGAATCGCTTGAGTGCAGGAGGTTGAGGCTGCAGTGAACTGTGATTGCACCACTGCACTTCAGCCTGGGCAGCAGAGTGAAAGATCCAGTCTAAAAAAATAACATGAGCTCCTTACCAAATATGTAAATTTACAGATCACCTTTATATGCCTTTTAAAGTATCACCTTCATGAGAAATAAATTTTAAAATGAGGTCATTTGGTGGTATGGATAGGGCAGTGACTTCCTGCTTTATTTATAATCAACAGGAGGGACAGCTAGGCTAATTCAGATTCCATTAACAAATTCCATTCCGTCTTCCCTTTGGTGATAGGTCCCAAGCTGGGTTCCTCAGCATGTTATTTTAACATGATGAAGCTCCATACAGTCATGTTTATTTGCTTCAGGGAAGAAGGATGGTCACAATTAGTAACTCCATCTAAAATCTGAGCTAAGAATCCTAGTTTTTTAATCTTAAAAAAAGACAAATTTACCATTGTATTCAAAATCCCAGTTTTTTACCTTAAAAAAAAAGATGTTTAATATTGTATTTTAAATAGAGCACCAACATTTTAATCGTTGTTCTGATCATACTTTATCTCTTAAGATATACCAGTAGGGCAGACATAAATTGCAAAGAGTAGCCAAGACAGGCGAGTAATTAACCTGGAAGGGGCAAATCATTTAACTGATGGTGAACACTGGGTAACTCCTTTGGATGCATGCTTCCAGTCAAAACCTTGAGATAATTCCAACTGTATCAGTATTTGACAACAAACTGCCTTCATTTGGCAGCCCTAATCATTTTGTGTTTGATGCAGCCGTAGGGGATGCATCATTCACAGAGGCAAAAAACACTACCTATGGCAAATATTTCCTTAAGTTAGACCTCTACATTTTTAGCACTTCCTGTATTTAATAAGAATATTGGTATAAGCACACTGGCAAGACCTTTATAACACCTTATTTTGCTGGACTTACCTAGGTATCTTTGGGAGTTTTCACAGGATTATCACCTCTTCAAATGTTTCAGTAAACCACAGTTCTGCTGGCTTTGCTCTCTGTTCAGTAATGTGCCTTGCTAATGATTCCAGCTGTCAGTGTATAATTCTGACAATATTGGCCCAGCCAAGCACAGAGTGCTGCATGAGGAATTTCTGCTCTGGATCACATTTCAGCCTGAATTCTTATCATTTAACTCTTGATGATGGTCACTTCATTGGACTCCTGTGAGTACCTCGCGTAGTTACCATGCAAGTTGTCAAGCATCGATACTAAGCATTAGTCCTTCAAAAACAGGATCATGATTCTGGTTGTACCTGAGATGTCTCAGTTACCATCTTCAGCTCAACACCTTGACAGTCCAGATCTTGTAGCATATCCTTATGCAGACGTGGCCTCTAGGTACTAGAAGTAAGACTGTATTTCTAAACGACTTAAAGAAGGACAAACAGAATTAACTTGTCTACATCCAAAGCCCTGCAGAGGATTTTCCCCCAAATATTTGTGAAAGTTGTTAAACATAGTATCTCTTTGGTGAAAGTCATTGGGTATTGGCTTATCAGAATTAACCTGGCTGTAGACAAGTTTTTCATGTGACCTGAAATGCTTTCTGCTTATCCACAGGGCCTTAATGCCTTTGATTACTGTTTGCTCCTTGCGTGTGAGACAGCCCTAGCTCTAGGTGGGCCGCAGAAAGATTCCAGGTTGCAGTTACCTCTGCACTAACACTTGAAGAAGTCGTCAGTTCTCAGCAACTGCCACCTCTACCAACAAGAAAGTTCTGTTTGTGCTGAAGAAAGTCATCAGTGCTTGCTGAGGAAAAGCATGGGCATGTATAAAATTTGGGTCTGTGAGGTGTGATATCTCATTGCACCCCATATCCCACCTGCATCTAACAGCAATATTCTGCACAAGTCTATTGTCTCCATTTCTAACAACAGCGTGAAGCCCTAATGGTTGGGGATCAACATCACACAGCAGCCAGCCATTTAGATGATGATATTTGTGGACAGTATATCTGTGACAGAAGTTTGAAGAGCTAATGAAGCATTTTTCGGGGTCAGGAAAAGGCTGGCTCTCCCAAGGAAGACATTCCAGTCAACAGAAAGGAAGAAAGGAGATGCTAACATTTGCAGAAAAGAAAGAAAAAGACAGGGGTCTTCCTCCCTGAGCGCCTGTAGAACCAAAGCTGAAGAAAACCATCCTGGATGTGAAGTTTCAGTCTCTGGCCAAAGAGAGGCTCAAAATCCATCAGCGTTTTCCAAGATGATCATCTGTCAGTTCTTATTCTGTAGGCTGTCAAACGCCTAGTGCTCTGCACACCCCTTTAGCCCTCAGGAAGAGACGCATTCTACCAGAAGCACATCACTTGCCACCAGAGCCATTGTTTTCCCCTTCACCCCTTTTGCCCTTAACTCTCAAATGTTTCCCAGAGATGTGACTATATTCCTCTCAAGGCAAAGAGTATTTGCCTTTTTCCCCCCTGCTGAATATATGAGGAATTTACAGCAGAATTTTAGTTGTGTTTGCCACCTGCCTTCACTTTGTGGACTCCAGTGCTGAAATCTAACCACTGATCAATTTCTTTTTATCCTCCAGTGATGTGGTATACCTGAGGGTATGCTGCATTTGGTTCCTTTAGTAAAACACCTCTGGTGCTGTGGGATGATATTGTGAACCTCATTATGCTCTAGAAACCTGATTCTAACCCACTTATTATCTGAGGTCCAGCATCTCCCACAGGAGGCTTGGTCGTCTTGCACTTTGAATCCTGCACACTACTGCCCTTTTGTTAGCTGTGGTCTTGTTTTGAAAAAACATGTTGGTGCCAGCAGCAGGAGCCCTTTTGTTCTGAGGAGTTCTTTGTTTGGGTCCTAAACCAACCCTAAAGGTTTTTTTGTTTTGTTTTCATCTCCAGAAGAACAGCAGTCTACCATAGTGTTTATCTTTTGGAGAAAGGAAAAAGGCTTAGCCTTTCCTTTTGAGAAAATTATTATACTCTCTGTTCCTACTTCCACCATGCCTTTGGTTCTTTTCCCTTTTGTGAGTGTCACCTCTTCTACGTTTTTACCCTGAAAGCACTTGAGAGAGAATTAGTAGTTTTGTTGCACATGGACTTCAGATTATTTGAGGGAAAGGGAGGGGCTTGCCTTCTCAGACTGGAAGATTAAACCCAGATTGTGCAAATCTAGGGTTTTAGTCAACTTGCAGGGATGGACCCTGACAGGTAAGTAAGGTTTTTCAATGGAGTCAAAAGAATGAGGACCAAACATAGCACTTACAATACTCCTAAGGTGGTAAATAACATGCTATGACATGTTCTTATTTGTATCCGCACCCTCATTTACACCAGCCCAAGGCTTTGTGTGTGGTCTGTGGTCTGTCAGGATCATGATATTTCAGCCCTGATTGCCAAGAACACTTGAAATTGGATTCCACCTCTAATGACTACTTCTAACTGCTCCCCGAGGCAGGTTTATCTGCCGATCATTAATCCAAAAATACCTCGCAGTTGTCCTTTCTCTTTGGATCTTGAATGTTTGCCCACATTACACACTACATCAGATGTTGCATGTTAAGAGGATTATATGATATAATAAGGAAAGGTGAAGTAAGAATCTTGGTTAGTCTTCACTTTAGTAAGAAAAATTATGCTTAGCTAACCTCATTTAAATTCCCTGGTCTACAATATGTTTGCTCCCACAAGCCAGGAATGCTGGTTAACCTTAAAATATATAACAAGTATTTTTCCTGGAAGCAAAAAAAAAAAAAAAAATTTTGGCATTTAAATTGTTTTTGCTGTGCCCATTTCCACAAGCTGATGACATGTTGAATACCTAATATGTATAACTATGGTAGATGACAAAAGTATAAACAGAACATGTTGCCTGCTCTTGAGAGGCTTACAGTTTAATAGAATAATTCAATTCATTAAATATTTACTGAACTCATACGCTGTATCCTAGAGCTACGAAGCCTTCAAGAGAACTTCTTATTTGGTAGGAAAGCCATGTAAAAATAATTACAGAACAGTGTGGTAACTGCAGTTATAGAGGTTTGTACTGGAGCAAGATTCATTCAACATATATATAGACCATCTGTCATATAACACATTGTTCTATATAGTGGGTTTGTAGTGCAGAATCAAAGTGAGATAGTTTTTGTCCTTGTGACGCTTGTAGTCTAGTAGGGCAGACAGACATTAAATAAATATGTAATGTCAATTTGTGATAAATGACAAAAGTAAAAGTGCTGTGAGAGAATTTTAGGGGCAGAAGGTAAGCTTATATTGAATCTAACAGAATCAGGGAGTAGGGGATATTTATATGTTGAGACCTGGAAAATGAATATAGATCTCTTCCTGCTGCTCACGTAAGGGGATTAGGAAAGACGTTGGCTAGTTATAGCTGAAAGGCTAGTGTGGCAAAGAGTGGTGAACTAGGGAGAAGTTGAGACAGGGTTGGAGAAGACAGGAGCCAAGATTATGCAGGACCTTCATGGCATTGGTAGAGGTTTTAGATTGAATTCTAAGTACTTTGGAAGACTGGCGCAGTGGCACACACCTGTAGTTCAGCTTCTTGGGAGACTGAGGCAGTAGGATCACTGGAGCCCAAGAGTTCAATGCTGTAGTGTTCGTGATCCCACTTGTGAATAGCCGCTGCACTCCAGCCTGGGCAGCGTAGTGAGACCTCACCCCTATAAAAAAAATACATACCGTGGGAAACCAGTGGAGGGTTTTACATACGTAAGAGACCACTGTGGAGTCATCTTTCAGGAGAAAGGAGAGACAAAAACAGAGACGAGACTGCTTTAGAATGCTCATGCTGTGGTTTAAGGGTAAAACAATTATGAGTTGGCCTTCAGTAGTACCAAAGAAGATAAAGGAAAGTGGGCAGAACTGAGAAAGAATGAAGAAAATTTGGAAATATGGTTGGGAGGATGAGGCTTTAAGAGAAAGACGATACCCAGTTTCCTGGCTTGTGCAACGAGTAGGTGGATGTGCCACTTAGAGAGATGGGAAGGGTGGGAGGGGGAGCATGTTTGTTGGGGAAGGGGAAGATCAAGAGTTCAGAGCAGGTTTTACGGAGAAGGTAATCCTTAAAGTGGGTCAGACATAAGACGTTGTAAAAAGGTAAATGCCAGATCAAGATGAGTAATACAGATAGAAGGTGCCCTGTGCTAAGCAGAAGAGATCAGCAGTTAGGAAGGGTAGGGAAGGTTTCTTGGAAGACATGGGACATAAGATTGCCTGTGTGGATTGGATGGTACTTGGATTAGTGCAAGAAAAATATTCCAAGTATAGAAATCATGTAAATAAAAATATTGAGATAGATTATGTCTTGTGAGTTAATGCATAAGAATGAAGTAGACTTGAGAGGGTTGAATTAGAAATGAGATAGAGAAATAGGAGTCAGATTTATTAGGCTTTCTAACATAGAAGTTGTCATTTTAGAATAGTTAATCTGGTATTTATGTGTTGAATTAATTGAAATCAAGTAGATTGGTTTTTAATTTTGTGTTTTATGTGTTGGTGTCAGAATAGAAATAAGGACTTGGATTGGACTTACAAATCCAATGGGAATAGAAAAAAAATGAACAGGGACACAAGTAACTTTATTGGGTTGGGGGAGGAAAAAGCATAGTTAATATTCAAGAACTTAAAACTTGATAACTGGGAAGATGATTTTGTCAGAAGTAAAAAAGCGGGGAATGGGGGGGCCGATAGGGGTTGGAATCAAAAGTTTTTAATTTTAAATATGTTAAAGAGGAATTTCCAGTGGGGTGAAATGTCTCATGAGGAACATTGAATCAGAGCAGACAAAGCATATCTGTGACTTCACTGTTCAGGTTTCCTTTTTTAAAAAACCGTCTTGAGCAAAAAGGAATCAGGTTCTGCATAAGCCCTCAGATTGAGACATACCACTTCTCAATAGCTCTGACAAAACAGAGAAACTGATTGTTCTTGACCCTTTATTCTGTGTATCTTGTAGTACTTTTTTTCCCTTAATTTTATTATCCTGCCAACATAACGTTAAGTGAATTTTCCATACTTTAAAGATAATTCTTTTGATCACTTTTATGAGATTGTGCTTTTTGTTCTTTTTTTCTTCATGAGTCTTGCCTCCTTGCTCTGTCCCTCCAACTTTCTACCCCTTGTAAAGTCTCTTTCAAGCAAGTCTGGTGGAAAGACACTTTCACTTTGAAAGTCTGATGAATACTGTTATCCAGTCAAAAACTTTGGCTTTTGGTCGTGCATTCTTTTGATGTCCTGATCTTTTGAGATTGTGAAACCTCTAGACTATTTGCTGACCAGATGGATGACTGTCCTCAAATGTTTATGTTCTGTTTGGCTGCCCTGTTTTAGAGAAAAATGATGGGAGGGTGGAGACTTTCTCCTATAAAGAGCTGATGCATTGGCTACTTTCAATTTCTTTGTCTTAGCATCTTCTTGCTACCTCCCACAGGGATCCTTATGGCTTTGGAGACAGTCGAGATTCAAGGCGTGATCGATCCCCAATTCGGGGAAGTCCAAGGAGAGAGCCCAGGGATGGCAGAAATGGCCGGGACGCCCGGGACAGCAGAGACATTCGAGACCCCCGAGACTTACGGGACCACAGACATAGTAGAGACTTGCGGGATCACAGAGACAGCAGGAGTATGCGTGATGTTCGGGACATGAGGGATCTTAGAGACTTTCGTGATCTAAGAGACTCTAGGGATTTTCGAGATCAGCGAGACCCCATGTACGACAGATACAGAGACATGAGAGACTCCCGAGATCCTGTGTACAGGTACATATGTAGCTACTCTGCTTGTTTTTTTCTAAGTTCTTTTTATGTATGTTCTACTAAACCAGTGGAAAGCTCTGTAAGAGCAGTAATTGTATCAGCCTTGTATTTCTAGTGTCTGTCGAGTGGTAGATGTGCTGCTGCTCAATAAATTTAGCTGAATGTATGAATGATTTTAAAAATTTTTAACAGAAAATAACTAGTGTTGACAAGGTATGGAGAAATTGAAACCCTCAGAAACTGCAGGTAAGAATGCAAATTGGTATAGCCACTATGGAAAACAGTTTGGGAGTTCCTTAAAAAGTTAAACATAGAATTAACTAAATGATCTATCAGTTCCATTCCTGAGTATATACTCAAAAGAATTGAAAAGAGGGACTCAGATAGTTTTACATGAATACGCGTAGCGGTACTATTCACAATAACCAAAAGGTAAAAGCAATCCAGATGTCTGTCAGCAAATTAATAGATTATTAATAGATTTTTTTTTTTTTTTTGAGACAAGGTCTTATTTGTTTCCCAGTCTGGAGTGCAGTGGCATGATCACAGCTCACTGCAGCCTTGACCTTCCAGGCTTGAGTAATCCTCCCTCCTCAGTCTCCCAGATAGCTGGGACTATAGGCGTATGCCACCGTACCTGGCTAATTTTTTTATATAGAGGTGGAGTCTCACTATGTTGCCCAGGCTGGTCTTGAACTCTTGAGCTAAGCGCTGAGACTACAGGTGTAAGCCACTGCACCCAATGTGGATTTTTTTTTAAGTGGCATATTTATACAATGTGCTATCATTCAGCCATGAAAAGGAATAAAGTTCTGATCTATGTTACAGCATGAGGGACGTTGAAAACATTATGCTAAGTGAAATAAGCCAGACACAAAAGACAAATATTGTATGAATTCACTTACATGAATTCATATTATATTGTATGATTTCACTTATATGAAATATCAAGAATAGGCAAATTTATAGAGACAGAAAGTAGATTAAAGATTACCAATGGCTGGGTAGAGGGGAGTTATTTGACGAATACAGAATTTCTGTTTGAAGTGATGAAAAATTTTAGAAATAGATAATGGTGATGGTTGCACAACATTGTGAATACAGTGCCACTGAATTGTATACTTAAAAATTGTGAGGCCAGGCGCATTGACTCATGCCTGTAATCCCAGCACTTTGGGAGGCTGAGGTGGGTGGATTGCCTGAACTCAGGAGTTCAAGACCAGCCTAGGCAACATAGTGAAACCCCATCTCTAGTAATAATAATAACAATAATAATAATAAATAAAAATTGTTAAAATGGCAAATTATTGTTATATACATTTTAGTATTTTTTTTTTTTTTTAATAGTCTCGTTCTGTCACCAGGCTGAAGTGCCGTGGTATGATCTTGACTCACTGCAACCTCCACCCCCCAGGTTCAAGCAATTCTCCTGCCTCAGTGTCCCGAGTAGCCGGGACTACAGGTGCCCGCCACCATGCCCAGCTAATTTTTGCATTTTTAGTAGAGTTAGGGTTTCACCATGTTGGCCAGGATGGTCTTGATCTCCTGACCTTGTGATCCACCCACCTCAGCCTCCCAAAGTGCTGTGATTACAGGCGTGAGACCCTGCACCCAACTGACATTTTAGTATAATTTTTAAAAGGTACAGGGGAGATTCATGTAATGTTTCCTCAAAACCAACATCAATAATTCCTGCCAGTTATTTTGCATTTACTATATGCAAGGACTATGCTAAGTGCTTTCTGTATATCATCTCTGTTCATCCCTTTGCATCATTTCGTGAGACAGGTTAACTCTGTCACAGCCACCGAGCTGATATGCAGTGAGTCCCAGATATAAACCTCGTTTGTCTAATCCAAAAGAATTCTCTGGATGATTTTTTCAGGATACGGCAGAGTTTTATCTTTATGAAAATTTCCTTAACTTTTCAGGAGAGAAGGCTCTTATGACCGATACCTGCGAATGGATGACTATTGCAGGAGAAAGGATGACTCTTATTTTGACCGTTACAGAGATAGCTTTGATGGACGAGGCCCTCCAGGCCCAGAAAGTCAGTCTCGTGCAAAAGGTAAAGTAGCAGAAACATTCTATTCCTATTGTTGATAGAACACTTTACAAAAAAGAGAGGGAACTGGTATTAACCAGTACCCCATCTGAAAAGGGGCTAGTGACTTGGCCAAGCAGTGTATAAAAAGAAGAAATACAAATAGCCTGTTAATGGGTAAAGAGCATTTGGCTTGAAAATGATTGTGTGTGTGTGTGTGTGTGTGTGTGTGTGTGTGTGTGTGTGTGTGTGTGTGTGTGAGAGAGACAGATAGACAGACAGACAGACAGACAGTTTTGCTCTTGTTGCCCAGGCTGCAGTGCAGTGATGTGATCTCAGCTCACTGCAGCCTTTCTACCTCCCAGGTTCAAGCGATTCTCCTACCTCAGCCTCCCGAGTAGCTGGGGTTACAGGCATGCGCCACCATGCCCTGATAATTTTGTATTTTTAGTAGAGACGGGGTTTTTCCATGTTTATCAGGCTGGCCTCGAACTCCTGACCTCAGGTGATCTGCCCTCTTCAGCCTCCCAAAGTGCTGGGATTACAGACATGAGCCACCACGCCTAGCCTGAAAATGATTTTTAAGATGCAGATTAGTACCATCATCTGGTTTAGTCATCCAAAAAGAAGAAATAAATATGAAATTCCAGCAATAAGAAATGAACAAAATGCTGGTCACTGTGGCCACAACTGTAATCCTAGCACTTTAGAAGGCCAAGGCGGGTGGATCGCTTGAGCCCAGGAGTTCAAGACCAGCCTGGGCAACATGGTAAAACCCCATCTCTACCAAAAAAAATACAAAAATTATCCAAGTGCGGTGGTGCACCCCTGTAGTACCCAGCTACTTGGTGGACTGAGGTAGGAGGATTGCTGGAGCCTAGGATGTTGAAGTAGCAGTGAGCCATGATTGTACCACTGCACTCCAGCCTGGGCAACAGAGTGAGACTCTGTTTCAAAAAAAAAAAAAAAAAAAAGGAGAAATGAACAAAATATTGGCGCTGAAGACATAAGTCCTTGCTTTTTTGCCCATTTAATAGATAACTGTGGCTGACTGACTATGCAGAATAGGTGTTCGGTTTTTATAACTTATCTAACAGCATCTCTTTTTTAGATGAAGACAAAAATGTCTTTTTAAAGCCTGGTTTTTCTTAATACAAAGGTTCTTAAATTATTTCATACCTGGCCAAGTTGAAATCTTTGAGAACCTCATTTTTTATTTGTTATAAAACTTTACTACTTGGTTTTTTGTTGTTACTGTTTTTCAAAAAAAGATCAGCAATAATGCAGATTAGAATAATAATGATTACTGTTCTTGTCTGTCAAGTTGACAAGACTTAAAAAGAATGACAGCGTACTCAGTGTTGACTAAAGTGTGGAGAAATAGGCACTAGATGATCTACCTCTATGGAGGTGTAAATTAGTAACAGCCTTCCCATAGGGCACTTGCAGTGAGTATCAGACACAGTATTAAAATGGCGATGTCCTTTAATCCAACCATTACATTTTGGTTAATTTATTATAATAAAAAATATTAATACTAGCTATTTTTAGGAGATAGACCAGGGGATTGATTCAGAGTATTATGACCTTTGCCTATAAGCAGCGCAGGATTTTCAATGAGGCCTGTGACTTGTCTTTATAGAAGGATCCAGTCCTTATTTCAGTTTACCCTCGTGGTGTCTTGCAGAGCGTTTGAAACGTGAGGAGCGGCATAGAGAAGAGCTTTATCGTCAATATTTTGAGGAAATTCAGAGACGCTTTGATGCCGAAAGGCCTGTTGATTGTTCCGTGATTGTGGTCAACAAACAGACAAAGTAAGAACCTTAAACGTTTCTCCCCAGTAAGGAGAAGAGTCAGAGAAATTCAGGCTCCTATGTAGCACCTCTATCCACTGAATTTGAGCTGTGTATTCTTGCATTACTGTGCTGTGTTAGCCAGAGTTCTTTCAGTTACAGGTGACAGAAAACTCAATTCAAACAGGTGTAAGCCCAAAAGGGACATTTTTTATTTAAGCAAAAAGTAACTGGGAAGTTGAGGCATGGCCACATCCAGGGTCAAACCGTGTCATCAAGACTTAGTCTCTGTGTCAGTCTCTAAGTACCACTTTCCTGAGATTTGCCTTTGTTCTCAGGCAGGTTTTGTGCTTGAAGAAAGGCAGAATGGCACTGGCTCTAAACATGTGTCTTCTTAGCTTAGCAAGCCAAGTGGAAAGAGAGCTGCTCTTTCCCATAACGTTCTGGAATTCTTCTTAGGTTGACCTGACTCACTTTCCCATCCTTAAGCCTGTCACTTTGACAGGGGTGCTGAATGTTCTGATTGGCCAGGGCTGTCATGTTCCCATCCCAAGAGCTAGAGGTGGGATTAGCCCTGTGGAACCATGCAGAATGAGAGTGGAAGAGAGTATAGATGCTGGTTAAGCAAAGCAGTAGATAACTCCTTCATGGGACAACCCGAATGTCCAGTACTTTGGGAGACACATCTCTGCATTTGTCAGCCAAGAACCAAGTCTTTATGAAGTGCCATGGCCATGCAGAACTGTTAGATGACCATGTTACCAAGCTAGGGCTCACAGCATTGTTTCACTGCATCCCTGTTTTACGTTTTCTCCTTGAAGAGGCAGAGCAGAGAAGCAGAAGGGAGTATAGCAGCTTGCAGGCTTGGCAGTAGCTATATTCCCTTTCCCCAGGTAGTGCTAAGTAAATAACTTCATGTATTTTCTAGCAGTTTGGGGTTAAAGAGCTAATTTCAAGGCAGTGACTAGGGAAATAGGTGTTGAGACACCAAGTAATAGTCAGAGTTCACAGGTTCTTGGCTGTCTTGTTCAGCAGTAGATGCTGCTTTTAGCTCTAGGAGCTTTTTGTGGACACATGATAATGGCTATCGTTTTCTGAGCACCTACTTTGTGTACTACCCTATGCTAAGCACCTTACATAAATTATTTTTAATTTTCACAGTAATCACATAAAATTTATTCATTCAGCAAATCTTTTATATGTGTGGCAGATGCCGGGTACTGGGGCTATGTAGTCTCATTCCACTGGTGGAGCTTACACCCTAATGGAGCAGGTGACAGAAGCATACAGCTGATGAGTCCTATGAGAAAAGAATATCAGAGATCTAATTTAGATTGGAGGGAAGGTCAAAGAAATGACATGAACTGAGCCATGTTATTCCTGTTTTATTAGTAAAGAAACTGATGTTTGTAAGAGGTAAATGGACTTGACTAAAAGTTCAGAACTTTGCAAGTAGATGCTAAGGGCTGGGATCCAAAACCATGTTTCTAGCATTTAAGCCCATGATGTTCCCACTGTATTATGCAGCCTACCCAAAAAGAGATAAGTGCCACAAGTCTTAGGGAGCTGGATGTTGTTAAGGAAGGACCACTGAGCTAGAGAATCAATAGAAGGACCTGGGTATCATACTGTGCTACTGGCAACTTCTGATGTGACCTCAAGCAAGTCACAACCATTCTGAGCCAGGGTATATAGAGAGAATTGATCTAGATCCTTAGATCCTAAAGATGGTATTGGGGTGGACTACAGTTTGAGTTCTTAGTAGGGATACACACAGCTGGCATGAGACACAACAATGCAGATTTGGAGTTGGTCACTCACCTGGATCTTGTTTGTTTTTACAGAGACTATGCTGAGTCTGTGGGGCGGAAGGTGCGAGACCTGGGCATGGTAGTGGACTTGATCTTCCTCAACACAGAGGTGTCATTGTCACAAGCCTTGGAGGATGTTAGCAGGGGAGGTTCTCCTTTTGCTATTGTTATCACCCAGCAACACCAGATTCACCGCTCCTGCACAGTCAACATCATGTTTGGAACCCCACAAGGTACAGAGGCCCAAGTGGTCAAAATACCAGAGGTAGTGACTAGTCCATTGTTAGTCCTTTATGCCTTACTCAGAAGAACCAGGTTTTGGGCAAATGACTCTTATATCCCAGTTCATATATGGTAGGGCCCCTCTCAGTACCATGGAAGAGTCCTGCATAGTCATTTATCTGATAGTCTCTCAGTGGATACAGTTCTGGGCCTACTATCTGTTACATTATACTTAGCCTTCGGTATATTCAGTGGTGTACTGACAAATATTTAACAACAAGTTCTGGGACGGGGGGAGGGCGTTTATACCATTTGCTGATCTCCATGGTGTAAATACTCCCACCATGTTTCAGTTCAAGTCACCAACATGAAGTCACTGAAGGGAGAGTTGGAAAGAAATGTACACAGTTGGCTCTTGCCACTGAGATCTGGCTCCAGCACACCTCTGGCATTTCTCCACTGAATGCGACAAAATCCTTGCTTTTGCCCAGCTTTCTAATGGAGGACAGATAATATAACAGGCATTTAGGAGAAGTAACCAGAAGGGCTATGAGAAGTTACCAGAGGGACTAAGAGGCCCTGACCCTGTAGAGGCCCAGGACCAGTTCTCGAAGTCCTTCTTAGAAGTAGCTTTTCAAGCACTGAGCCCAGAGGATTGAGACTCAGCCAGCTGATACAGCACAGACTTACCCTTTTCCTACTACACTCAAGATCTCTGTTGGCCTCACTCCTTATCCCCATAACCATGCAGTTACATAATGATCTCCAGTGGATCATTGTGTCTGTCTGAGGAATAGTCCCCAAGATGTGTGAGGACAAAAGTTCTGAGGAGTCCTCTCACTACCCGGTAAACCATATTGCCCATGGGTGAGGAGAGGTTATTTAGGGTCACAATTTGATCTTAATCCATGACTTTTGAACTGATGAATTGAAAAACAGTAGGCCAGCTCTGTCCTGAGGAGCACAGTGGAGAGCCCAGCTTTCCAGAGGGGGCTTGTTGGCCTCCTGCTGCTGGTCTAGAGGCTGCTGGGCCTGCCTCCCGTGGCTGTTCCCCACATGGCCTGTTTGAATCTGCAGGAGGCTGTCATGTTTCTTTGGTTTTTACTACTACAAGTCTGTGATCTAGGAATTCCCCCAAAGAACCAGCTATATGCAAAGGTGCATGTTCCCACCAAAGGTATCCATTCACTTCCCTTCCTGCCCTTCATCTATCCACCCACACCACCCTACTCTCAATCTCAAGCCTTTCTGTCGCCAAAGTGATTTTGTTGCTGGTGTGAGGTTAGGAAAGACTTGACAGAGGCAGCAGGTGGGCACTTAAATATGTCATGAAAGAAAATAACTCATGTCACTTCCTCCTACAGAGCATCGCAACATGCCCCAGGCAGATGCCATGGTGCTGGTGGCCAGAAATTATGAGCGTTACAAGAATGAGTGCCGGGAGAAGGAACGTGAGGAAATTGCCAGACAGGCAGCCAAGATGGCCGATGAAGCCATCCTGCAGGAAAGAGAGAGAGGAGGCCCTGAGGAGGGAGTGCGTGGGGGCCACCCTCCAGCCATCCAGAGCCTCATCAACCTGCTGGCAGACAACAGGTACCTCACTGCCGAAGAGACTGACAAGATCATCAACTACCTGCGAGAGCGGAAGGAGCGGCTGATGAGGAGCAGCACCGACTCTCTGCCTGGTGAGCTACGTGGCAGGGCCGAGGTGAAGTTCTGACTCTGCATTTCTCTAATCCCCAGGCTCTGTTGGGAGGGTGTCAGGCCCAGGGCTCTTTGGAGTGGGTAAGGGAAATAAGTCCATCCCTTGGGTTCTCCCGTGGGCCATCCATGCTGATACAATGTTAATAATAACTTTTTATTATTTGGGTACTGAATGCTGATCCCTGTAGTTAATGTGGTGGATTGACTAGTATTGCTGAATCCCTGGTAGCCAGGATGGATGCCCTTTTGTTTTTTAGCAGTTCTCTAGGAGAACTAACCTATTGTTTTCGGTAAACAGCACATACCATAATGTAGCCCCTTTGGGAAATTGATGTTATTGTCAATTGATGTTAGTGTACTGTATGATTGATGTGACTCAGTGATTGTTGTTCTTCCTTTGGCTGCTAGACCTCCTGCCCTTGGGGGTGCTTTGAACCAGATACCTCCCTCTTCTGTCTTCCAGGCCCGATTTCCCGCCAACCACTCGGGGCGGCCTCGGGTGCCTCGCTGAAGACACAGCCAAGCTCCCAACCGCTCCAGAGCGGCCAAGTGCTCCCCTCTGCTACACCTACTCCATCTGCACCCCCCACCTCCCAGCAAGAGCTTCAGGCCAAAATCCTCAGCCTCTTCAATAGTGGTACAGTGGCGGCCAATAGCAGCTCTACATCTCCCTCAGTTGCTGCCGGAAACACCCCGAACCAGAATTTTTCCACAGCAGCAAACAGCCAGCCTCAGCAAAGATCACAGGCCTCTGGCAATCAGCCTCCAAGCATTTTGGGACAGGGAGGATCTGCTCAGAACATGGGCCCTAGACCTGGGGCTCCTTCCCAAGGGCTTTTTGGCCAACCTTCCAGTCGCCTGGCACCTGCTAGCAACATGGCTAGCCAGAGGCCTGTGTCTTCCACAGGTATCAACTTTGACAATCCAAGTGTACAGAAGGCTCTGGATACCCTGATCCAGAGTGGCCCTGCTCTCTCCCACCTGGTTAGCCAGACCACAGCACAGATGGGGCAGCCACAGGCCCCCTTGGGATCTTACCAGAGGCATTACTGAGGCTAAATCTTTCAACTGTCCCCAGTCTCCTCATTCCCTGGCCGCCTCCCACTTACCGCGTTCTAAATAGAGTTGTTTGGAGGATATTGGCATTCTCCAGGTCTACATCGAGTGTCATCAGTTTCTACCACCTGCTCTCTCTCCTGCCCAAGGCTGTGTTGCTTATTCCTTACCAAGTTTATGCTGCATTTGGGGCTGTATTCTGTTTTGTTTTTTGGATTTTTGTAGAAAATAAGTATCTCCGGAGTCACTTGGGCAGTACGGGTGTCTGGGCTTATATCTGATGGGGTTTCTCCAGTCCTCCTGTCTACTGGATTTGGAGCCAGGCCCAGCTGGCCACGTTTGGAATGGCATTTGTCATGTCAGTAGCCACCACCTTTGTTCATTGTGAACCTACCAAGGCTTTCAAGCTTCAAACACGTCGACCAGAGCTCAAACTCCTGCCTGCAACTCTTGCCTAGAGTTAAAGAAAAGTCGACTGGCCTTGGCAGGCACAGTGTCATCATACCCCAATACCACATGTTTGGGATCTGCTTGAGGATTCATAAATCAGCTACTCTGGATTGTTGAAGAATGGCCATGGCAGCCACAGAAGAATTTTTCTGTCTGAGCCAAGGTTGTTTTTTTGTTTTTTTCTCTTTTATTTTTTTGTTTTCATTTCATTGGAAGATCTCCAATGGACTAAACAGCTCCAGTCAGCAGCAGTTTAATACAAACTGTGAATCTGGGCCCCACCACTCTTCCCCTTTACCAGTTCTGTCAGCATCCCCCTCCAGTGGCACTTCCGTGGAGTCAATTCTGAGACTCTGGCCATGAACACTCATTTCTTCAGACTTGTTTTGAGCTTTTGGCTCAAAACCCCAGGCTCTTATTTTTGTCTAGACTCTTGTTCTGTTTCCTGAGCAGTAGGAGGTAGGGACCACTTTGATGTCAGACTTCTGGTAGCTGGACATGTTCTTGAGATAGGTGGCTGTTCATGACTTTTGTACCAGAGTGAAACTGTTAGAGGGAGGGCTTCTGGCTGTAGTTCTAAGTGGAGCCCCAGGAAGCTGCCCTCTCCCCAGGGATTGTGCTCAGTAGATCCCTGTGGATCCCAGTCTCAAGATCCTCTAGCAGGGGAGAGGGAGAGCAGTGACTTCAGCCGAGTCCCTGACAGTGGCAGAAAAAACAATGGTTTCAAAATTCAAGGTCCCCAAATGGCAGCATTTTATGTTCTGACCTGTTTGTGTTATATAGTGTTTTTCCCCCCCCCCTCTTTGGAACTCTTGTGTTGTTAATAAAATGAAATGATTACTTTTTGATTAAAATGAAAAAAGTAAAAGCTGTGTTCATCTTTCTTGGGTGTGAATATCCTCTTTGCAGGACACTCTCCCCAAGTCAGAGGTGAGGGACTCCTGTGTCGAGGACTCTGGTCTGCCCCATCTTGTCCTCAGCATGTGATCCGGCCTCAAACCTCTTTGAACCCTGCCTTCTCTGCCTAGGTGGCTCACCTAGTTAGAGGCTTTAATAACAGTTCAGCACAAAAGCCTATTGGCTAATTATAGTGCTGTGTTCAACATCCTGCTTCTGGCAGACATTCTTTGTGTCAGTAGCCTTGTCCTCTTATTCTAGAAAAGGAAAACCGGAATGTGAGGGGGTCATTTGTGGTTGGTGGCCACTGGTAGAGAGGCACTTCCTGTTTTCATTTTGTCTCAGTTGCCACCTTCTGTTCAACCCATTGTGCAGGGAGTTGGCAAAATCCATAGAACCTGAAGGAGCCTTGAAGAACATTTAATAACTTGGGGTGGGTGTGGTGAAGTGGGTGGCACAGGCCTCCAATGGGTTAGGCACCAATGTGCCGAGAGCACAGCCTGAACAGTGTTAAGTGCTCACTGCCTCATGGGGAATATCACTGCAGCCTGACACCTACACTTAGAAAGTGCTCACTACCTCCTAGAAGATGCCAGTGCAGCCTGACACCTACTAAGTGCCTACCAGTCTTAGGAGATGATGTTAGTGCTGCTCTCCAAGCCAGGGCCCCAAAGCTATCGTTATGTAAATTACATCGCCAGACCTGGGACATTAGCCCATCTCTTCTGTCAGTAGGGGTCGCTGTTTCTGATTTAAGAGTGTGGAGTCTGGTCTGGTGTGGTGGCTCACGCCTGTAATCCCAACACTTTGGCTGGCTGAGGCAGGTGGATCACCTGAGGTCAGGAGTTCAAGACCAGCCTGGCCAATGTGGTGAAACTCCATCTCAAAAAAAAGTGTGGGGTCCTAGAGGACCCCCTGGAGTGTCCAAACAGCAAATCTCAGGCCATAAAGGGTATAATAAAATTATTTTTATTGCATTTTGTGCAGACGGGAGTCTAAAAAAGTAATACAGTAAAAGCCATAAAGCATTAGATGGGAGCATTCAACAATAAAGGAAAGAACCAATCCTCTCCTTTTCATATTGGCACAAAGAACACAAGATCAATACTGAGGCAGGATGCGGAATACTGAACACGTACACTGAAAATTAAAGGCAGGCCTAATAATAATAGTAATAATAGTAATAAATACTCTTGATTTGGTTTGCAACTTCTCCTATTTACAAGGGTTTTCAACTTCATTGCATTGCCCTGCACATAGATCGTCTAAAACAAAAGCAACACTATCACTACAAGGCTATTGAAATATTGCACTCAGAATAAAAGTCACTTGAATGGACATGAAACATCTAACTACAGTGATTATAAAGATAATTTGATGAATGACATGATAACATTCATAACAAATATTGCACATGTAGCACAGAAAACTTGGGTTTTTGTTGTGGGATGTCTGTTTCATCAACGGAAACTTTGCTCTTGCCAACCAGACAACCTGGGCCCAGGTAGTGCAACTTTGGTTCCCTAATCGATGTTGATACAGCCCCCCTTCTGCACAGCCCACCACGTTAGCCCCGAAATATTCAGGCCCCCAGAAGGCAGGACCTGGCTGTGGTTCTCAGACGGAGGTCCATTGAAGGATGCAGGGGGTTGGCGTCTAACACCTCCAGCTTCCTGATTGAGTACCTGAAAGAATCTATCCAGTCCCCTGGTCGAATCTCAGGGGGACCTTGGCATAACCGGCAGACCTCCAAACCTACCCCCAGCCACACCTGACCCTGTCTAGGTGGCGCCAGCTCCAGCTCTGCCTTAGGCTCAAAGGAAAAAAGGTGGTGAGGTCAGGAGTACTCAGTGGCCCCAGCTCTGGTAGGTGAGTGAGATGCCTAACTAGGTACACAGGTCAGGGCCCTGGGGCTGGAGGTACTGTACCCAGTCCCAGATGGTGCTGGAACGAGCATGCAGTGCCTGTCCCCCTTAGTAACGTGCCCTAGGGGAAGGGAACCCGGCCACCGCGCCTTCTCTAAGGACAGTACGCCTCAGACCAGGCTGGTGGAGAGGAAGCGCCGAGGACGAGTTGGGGAAGCCAAAGGCCCTGGGTCCTAGAGGAGAGCACACAGGCGCTAAGAACGAAGCGCGTGCGACTCCAGCCCTCCCTCAGGCCCAGGTCCCCTGGGAGACGGAGCTAGAGGCCGCTGCTAAGCAGCGAGGCCCGGCCCCGGAGCACAGAGAAGGCGGCTGCCAGATGGGGATGGGGGAGGGAACGTCACGGGCGGCGCTGGGGCCTCCCAGCAGGTCCGCCCCCTAAACCAGAATCGGCCCCCTCCTCCCCGACCTGTCCCAGGGAGGAAACTGCGGGGGGGGGGGGCGCCCTCCAGCTCCACAATTTCAGTCTTTGGCGAGGAGCCATGAGATGCGGGGAGCAGGCGACAAGCCGACTGAGGAGAGACGCCTGCTTCCCAGCAAAGGCACCGGGGCGGGGCTTCCTCGGCGGGGCGCGGGCCTCTCGGTTTCTTCCCCTTGAGGAGCGCCCTTCCCCAATCCTGGCCCCAACTTGCATAAGAGCCGATGAGAAGAGGTTGCGCGTCTCTGCAGCCGCAGTAGAAGCTCACATCCGCTGGGAGGCGAATCCAGGAAAAGTCGGACCCTTGTCTCACCTCATCTCGGAAAAAGGACTGGCAGGGAGGGTGGGAAGCCAAGGGCGCGCGGAAAGGGCGAAGAGGCGAGAGCCAGACGGGGGTGTGGAGGGACCAGGACCACGACCCCCGCCTGGGCCTAAACCACTTTTGCTCTCAAACTCTTGGACGTCAAGGAAAACTCAGCTTCCCGAGGCCTCCGCCTCCCCGCAGTGCCCCCAGCGGGAGAGCTCGACTGTAGCGAGAAGTCTGTTGCGCTTCTAGTCACATAAATATGGGGACGTTAAAAATACACGCGATGTCTCCTGTACACTATGTATAGGCTCGGCCGCCCGCGCCCCGCGGCTCGGCGAGAAGGGGCGGCGGAGACGGCAAGCGCCGCCTTCCCACCCCGCGCGTCTCCGGGCCGCCGGGAGCCGGAGGAGCGCAAAGAGAGGACCGCGGCGGGCAGGCGTGGGAAGGGGAAGAATGGGCCGCATGGACTACCTGGGGGTCCCCAAGGCCCCAGCTCCTCTCCTTTCCACGCCTCCTCCCAACCTTTATTGCAGCGTCTCCTCCGACGAGACGAGGCCGGGCTTAGAAAAAGGGCAGTGCGGAACCACAGGCCAACCGGGCACTGAGGAGCTCTGGTCTCCGCGCGGCGGGGCGCCCTCTCCGAGTCAGCCCCCACAGGCGTGGCCTCCAGGCTTCAGGCAGCGGGGTAAGGGGCCAGGGCACGGGCACAGGGTCTGTATGTAAACGGTGACAGCGGCGGGGGGCGCGGCGAGGGCTCCGGAGCCGCGGTTCGGGCGCGCTCGGGCCCGGGTGGCAGGTCCTGGCTCTCAGGAGTAGATGGTGATGACCTCGCGGCCACCGCCGCGGACCAGCATCACCCGGTCCAGGTGCTCTGTGAGGACCTCGAGGAACTCCATGTCTGTGAGCCGGTCAAGGAGAAAGACCCGATCTCCTTCCCTCCCGATGAAATGGGGGTAGCGCTAGGCTGCCAGGGACCTCTCGCGCCTGTGTCCCCGTCCGAGGTGCTGATCCGGAGGCAGGAATAGCTCAGCTCTTCCATCCCAGGGACAGGACCCAGCTTCCCTGACGTCCACCTCCCTCTTTCACCCAATTTTAATTCCAGGATACAGTTTTCGTCACCATTACGGTTGCGGGGAGGCCCAGGCATGTTGAGCAAAACAAGCTTGGCGTCCCGGGATTTCTTCACGATGACCTCGTTCAGCCGCACGGCCGTGTGCATGCGCCGCACATTGGACTGGTTCCTGCGGGAGGAGGGAAGGGTGGAGAGCGTGTGAGTCTGGGGGAGGGGAGATTGGAGCCAGTCACCCTTCCAGCCCGAAATGGGCTGCTGGGACCTGCTTCTTGCAAGCCCAGGACCACCAATCCTAAACCTCTCCAGGCTAAGCTATTCAGAGATCCCAGAGGTCGCAGCACCAATCGGGGGCTCACAATAGAGTGAGGAGGGTAGGGAACCCTGGCCATCCTAGAAGAGAGAATGAAAAAATGCTGAAGCACTTACAAGTTCTCCCACTCCCTTCAGGAAACACAAGAGATGCAAAGAGAAAAGAAAAAGAGCAGTCAGAAAAAGAGGAAGACACTGGGGGCTTGGGCCATGGTCACCTGCCCTGAGTCCTGCTCTGCCAGCGCCCACACCCTTCACCTTTTCACTGGCTGCAACTGGGAATTCTGAGCCTTAGCAAACAGGGCCCAACTCCCTAAGTCCTCAGATGGGGAAACCAAGACAATGTCTGAGCTGGGTCTGCAGGCTGCCAGACCAGGATGCCTTCTGCCCTCTTGCTCTGTCATGGGGAGCAGGACACTTTAGCTCACCCCAGCCCTCAGCCCTTAGCCCCCAGACCCATACGGCTTCATGCTGAAGAAGTCCTTGATGCCCTCAGAGGAGACAGGACTGGGACCCTTATTCTTCTCTGCCACCGACTTGTCCTTGGTCCAGGTGAGATGCACCTTCTCAGGATCTGTCTCCCCCTCCCCTTCAGGCTCCTCCCCTGGGGAAGGGGAGCTGCTGGGGCAGCTGGGAGCACTCTGATCATGGATCAGCTGCACCTGAGGGATGAATGAAGAGATGGCAGGTGAGTCCTTTGGAGGCTGAGGGCTCTGCTCCCACTGGCTGGGACCAAAGCACCCCAGCTGCACACCTCCTCCTCTGGCTTCTCTTCGCTGTCACCAGCTGTCTCTTCTGGGACATTGAGGCGGAGACGCGTGTTGGCTGGATTCTTTCTCCGGATTGAGCCTCGTGACTCATCTGTGATACTCTGGATCTAGGGAGTGACATAGGTTGTTGCCAGCTCTGCTGAGAGTCACCACCCATGCCCTGCAAAGAGCTA